TCGGTTGGGTCTCTGAATAAAGGTCTATACGTGTCATTGTCATTTAAATGAACTAGCATCTTTTCTACATAACTTGATTTGGCCATGACTATTACTGCTCCACCTTTGTCGGTTTTCGTTGCGATTAGATTACACAGATATCTAGAAACCCTACTAAAATGACAGTCATTCTTAGGCTGTATTATATGTTCAAAATAGGGGATCACCTCCAGTTCAATACTATTCCTTACCTCTTAAGGTAATCTATCAGATAAGCTAATTAATTTAACAAGTATTTCCAGAGAATGGTTTACCTCATTTGGAATAGCAAAATGCAGTCCTCTTTCCAATAAAAGTACTACACTATCCTCCAGAGCTGTACTAGATAAAGTGATTACCTTATCCTTCCCCACTTTGCTACAACCATGGTTAGTAAGATTTATCTTAGGTGCAAAGTTTCTCGACCTTATTTTAATTCCTAAATTCCTGAGCTTTTTATCATGTATCCGACGAGTAGTTCTGCTAATCGCTTTCCCTAACCCGTCAGCCATGTCTTGAAACTTAATGAAATCCACATCATTCAATAGTTTAGAGAGGGATTGTCTAAGCTTAGTTTTGGTTCTAATTAGTTCGTGGAGTTCGGTAATGCTTTCCTTGAGCCTAGTTTTAACCAAACCACACGATACTTGATCAAGTTCTTTATTTGTGGATGTCGGTAGATTATAACTTCTACCGAGTAAACAACACCTAGGAACAACATTATGAGAAATACAAATTTCTAAATATCTAACTTTATTAACCTGCCGGGATATAGTTTTCTTGATTAAAGTGTAGCGAGAAGACAAATGACAAGAAGTCGAACTGTATGTACATTGTCATTTGTTTTCACAACTTGCTCTTGTTGTCAGAATTACTTCGTTTGGTGCAACTTATCCAAATGACTTAGCTAAATTAGTTATCATAATTCCCAAGTGATTCGCCCAAATGGGACACTAATGAGAAAATTGTTCAGAAAGAAGACAAATGTCGGGATAATGCTCAATTTAAAATCCCATCACAACTACATGCTAAAGATGAGGAGGAGCATGATCATCAGAAGCCTACGAATAACGTATGCGGAATTCTGGGATGAAGAATTGGACAAACTGACTCGTATATGTTTCGGCAACGGTTGCCCAAGCGAAGTAATACAAAGAAGCATTGTTGTGCATAGCTGATAGCAAAACGGGAGCTATGAAAGAAGATTAAGGACGGAGAAAGATGCACAAAAGTGGATATGCTTACCTTCATACGAACTAACTAAAACGCTATGGCCAATACTAAGGGAATTGAATATTCGGATGGCAAGAAAGGAAAGAACTACACTTTTTGCAAGTATATCGACGCGACATAAAGGGTGGGCAGATTGGATTGTTCTGGAGTTTACTGCAAAACATGGGGCACCTGCGAACAGAAATATATTGGAGAAACAGAGAGAAAAATGAGCATACGAATCAAGGAATATCAAAGGCTCTGTAGGAAAATGGATACCGAAAGACCAGAATTAGCGGAACACATCTCACAGACTGGACACGAGATCAATTGCAAGACAACTGATGGTAGGTATGTAAAAAAACTGGGTTTTGCAGAGTTCTCTAATAGATTGGTGTTGGAATAACTTTTCTTTCGTTTGAAGAGGTGAACGGGAGGGATTCATGAGTTAGTTCCACCGCTGTTGGAGATTGCCTTGGAACTG